TTCCTTAAATCATCCTTTGCTGCCTCCTGCGCTGTTCTGTATTTTGCTTAAGGGTCACATTTTTCTTCAGTTCTTTCTGCTCCAAAAAAATGCCAGGTGTGCTCCCCCTTTCTGATTTTCTAACTCTAGATCTTTGGCTTTTCATTTTAATATTTTATCTTTTTGAACTACCCTTTGGAATCTGTGGTTCGGCTGTCTTACTTCATTATTTTCTCCATATGCTTTAGCTACTCTACATTCAAGAGCAAGTTCCAGGGTCTCTTTTGACATCCATTGTGGCTCTTTCTTTCTTCTTTCTTCCTGTCCTTTGAAGACCTTTTGCTTTCTTCATGTAGGATGTCCCTGATGTCATCCCACAGCTCATCTTGTCTTTCATCATTACTTCGTGTTCAATGGGTCAAATAACTGTTTGAAATCATCTCTAAATTCAGGGGGATGTGCTCAAGGTTGTACTCTGGCTCTCGGGGACTTGTTTTCCTTTTCTTTGGCGTCAGCTCCCACTTGCTGAGAAGCGTTGGATGGCCCCTGGTCTGGCTCAGACGGATGATGTTGAGCTTCTTCGTGGAATCTCTGCACAGATGCAATGATTTGGTTCCTGTGCAGTCCCCCAGGAGAGATCCAAGTGCACAGTCACCATTATGCTGCCGAATAAAGGTATGTGTGGTCAGTAACTTGTTGGTCTTGCAAGACTCTACCATGAGATCTCGGGGCCGTGTCCGTAGTAACCCAGATTAGCACGAAGAACTCCACTGTGTTTTAAACTGCTTTCCACCCCCTGCTAGCAGCTAGCCGCCCCTATCCCCTCCTTCCCCTCCCCGATCTCCTGACAAACCTTAACTCTCTAGAGATGTCCCACTGACCTGCCCAATTAGCAAGACATGTCCACTATCCTGCCAGTCTCTGAGTTCCCACCTGCAGCCATCGTCTCCCACCTCACCCTAGTGTGCTGCCTGCCTGAAAAGTAAAAATGCATGCTTCTCCGCCCTGTAAGCCAAGCTCTGCCTTCACTATAAAGACCCCGTGTTTTCTTTGTTTGGGTCAAGGGTTTTCCAGGCTCTAGCCTCCTCGGGAACGAGCTATAACAAAGGCTTTTCTCTTAAATGGAGTCTGATTAATCTCTCAAGGGTAAGCTATATTACAGTTCCTTTCACCAAGGCCATATTTTCCAACTGATGCTCCTTTTATTCATATTACAATCCTTAGTAATTATCAGTGCACCTTGATGGCATGCTTGATTGATTTCAGACTATAGACATTGGTAAACGTCCACTTCTTCACCTGTGGCATCAGCCTGGGGATTTGAGTAAGAGTTGTGTCGACTGGTCTTCCTGACAGATATGTGGATATTAGTCTGTCACTGGCATGGTTGCTCTTCAGGAGAGACCTTGAAATGTTCTGTTTCACAATCAATGCGACATCTTTCCTCTTCGGTTTGTCATCCCGGATCAAAATAGGCCATGTGATTATCTGACTCAAAGTGGCCAAGCCCAGCCCACTTCAGCTCACGAAAGCCCTGGATACTGGTCTTCCTGTGTCCCCTTGCATTTTGACTTGGGACGCATCCGCAAGCCTCCCTCCACCTGACGTTGCGGCTGACTCTCCTGTAAGGAGGCAGCTCTTCCCCGGTGTGTCTGGATGCTTCCCAACCTGAGATGCCCGTCTTCAAGCGCTGCCAGGCCCTGGTCCACTGCAGTTCCCAAGACTTTCACTAGCCTATTTTTAAAGAAATAGATCAGCGGGTCCTTTTTCCTAGTCTGTCTTAGGCGGGAAGCTCCACTGACCTGGGTCAGCAATGGGGGTGGCCCTGCTGACATTGGAAATACTGGTGGCCTAACTTCCAGCATCGCAGAAAGATGCAAGTCACCTGGCAGATGAGTGGTGCATTCATTTAACATTAATGCATCATGTTAATTGGTGCTGGGCTGCTTTGCTGGGAAGGAATGCCGGTGGCATAAGTGGAAACCCACAAGGGACATTCTATGCTGTCCTATTATGTTATTATAAGTCAGAATCTACTCAATGGCAGTGAGTTAATTTTGTTTCAAGGATAAGGAAGGAAGAAAAAAACCCCACAACTTTGCTTCTGAATTCAAGCACCAAGAGTAGAGAGAGCCTGTCTCTGTGGACCATGGAAATACTATCCTGAGTCTTACTAGGCCCTGGGAACCACCTGTCTGGTTTGTCCCTGGGTGAGCTCTTGTCGCATCAATTCTGTCATGAGGACCCATGAGTGTCAGAATAGAACTGTGCTCCAACAGGTTGTCCGTAGATTTCCCAGCCCTGCTTGTAAGACTCCTCCGGGTGGGCTCAAACTGCCCACCTTTGGGTTAGCAGCTGAGTGTGTTCTCCAGGTGCACCATCCATGGACCTGGTTTTATCTTATATGAGTCTGAGCAGCCAGCCCCTGGGCCCTCGCTGGCAAAGTTGCTCATGGAGATCCCGGCCCGCACCTCTACTTGAAGGGAGGCGGGGCAGGCACTAAGCCTCCTGTCCCAGGACCCAACACTGATCCCACCAAGAAAGGCTCACTCCTCCTTCACACGAAGGTCCTCAACTCTCCGTACCCAAAGACAGCCACGCGGTCATCTGGCTGGTGTGGCCGGAGATGATCCAGAGGAGGCTCGAGACACGGATGCCGTCCAGGATGGGGCAAGTGCCTGCTGGGGTCCTTGTGGTCCAAATGGTTGGCACATTCTTCTGCAAGGAACAGCACCTCAGGGTGTGGTCCATGGCACCCCAAAAACCTAAATTGGAGCAAAGATATTACTCTCACCTTGTAGAATAGACCCTCCCCACACACATACACAGTCTCATATACAAGAGCTAAAACACACACAGGCCCTGCTGCTCTGCCCTGCACTGGCCAACTCTGGTCTCCACTCATGATCCTTAGCCCTGGGTCTTCCTCCTTTCAGTCCTAATTTCCTCTAACCGGCCCCACTTTGCTGCCTCACGCTGCCCTGAATGAGATGCTTTGTCCACACTCAGACCCTGGGGAGGCTACCCTTCTTAGAGGGTGGGAAAGGGGAATGTGGACATCAGAAGGGGCCCCCTTGTCCTCGAAGACAGCATTTCCCTCTGTGTGGCTTCCTGGTACTTGCCCAAGGACCACTCACTATGGGTCCCATCTCTACTCTGGGTCGGGGTACAGGCGTGGCAACAGGTAGGGGGACAGGTGTTAGAGCAGCTAGGGACCTTGCACTGGACTCTCCTGGCTCTGAACCTGACTCCCGTTTATCAGCTGTGTGGCCTTTGGCCTATTAATGGACATCAGACATCTCTGCGTCTGAAGCTCCACAGCTGCAAAATGAGAACGAAGGGAGACCCTACCATCATAGCGTGGTGGTGAAGGACAGAGGAGAGAATGCTTATAAACAAACCGTTTCCCGTCCTGACAACCCCAGAGGAGGCACTCACGAGGCCACAGCTACGATTTATCCTTCAGGGGCAGTGGTGGTTCAGTGGGGAAATTCTCCTCTTCCATGCAGGAGACCACGGTTCAATGCCTGGCTAAGGTACCTTCTGCACAGACAGCCACAGCCTTTCGGCTGGCAGAGGCTTGCGTGTTGCTGTGATGTTAAATAGGTCAGTGGAACTTCCAGACAAGACAGACCAGGAAGTAGGCCTGGCGATCTGCTTCTGAAAATCAACCCTAAAGACTATGCATCACAGTAGCCAAATGTGCAAACAACAGGACTGTCCTTGGGTGCCTGGTATTGCCCTGAGGTGGGGCTCGGCCTGGCAGAATAGAACAACAGCTAGTACTACTGTAAGCCCTCTTTCTTTAAGAAAGGTTACTTCATTCGATTTAATTCTTTCTCGCTAAAAGAAATGTCAGCCGGCCCATCCTACGAGCCAGTTGTGAGGTTACAATCATGCATCAGGCACCTCCCAGCTCCCCGGGCCTCGTCTTCTTTCCTGGACGCAGCTCGGCGCCTTAACCACAGTGGACATTAGTACCTCCTTGCAAAATTGATACTTATCCCTAAACAAGATCTGGCTCACAACCAAGCTTGTCAACCTGCTTTCCACTGAAGAATTGAGTGGCCTAACATGTTTAGATTCCAGCCATAGGTAGAGACGTGTCCATTCAAGTTGCCCAGAAAACAAAAAACTAAACTCACTGCCAATAAGTTGATTCTGACTCACAGGGACGTTGTAGGACAGGGTAGAACGGCCCCTCTACGGGTTTTCAAGGCTGTAAGCCTTCATGGTAGTAGAAGCCTCAATGCTTCTCCTGTGGAGTAGCTGGTGGTTCTGAACTGCTGACCTTGTGGTTAGCAGCCCAAGGTATTAACCCGCTATGCCACCAGGAGGCTTAACCTTGCTGGTGCTGCATGTGCCCTGCCCCAGCCTGGGCTCCTCTCCCTGAGGTCAGGCATCATCTGAGTCGCCTGCGGGTTGTGACGCTGCACATAGACCTGATGGCCGTGACCACTGCCTGGCAGCATCGCTACAGGGAAGGCCCAGCCTAGCCTGGGACCAGCGGAAGATGTCTCCTGCTTGTGCCCAGAAGGCAAGCACCAGCCGCCACATGGCCTCAGCACCCAGAGGTGAGCCGAGTCAGGTTGGATGAGGAAGGGACCGGGCTCGGCTGACATTCAGACGCTCTTGGGCATGGATGCAGTGAGTTAAGCATTGTGCTGCTGAAGGAGAGGTTGATGGTTCAAACCCACCTCCTCCTCAGGGGGAAAGACTCTTCTGTGAGAGTGCAGCTCAGAAACCCTGGGGAGCCATTCTGCCTTGTCCTGTGCCCGGGGTGTGGCTTGATGGCCTGGGTTGGGCCCCGGCTGGAACGCAGGTGATAAGCTTGGTTTCCCAGGGGCGTCCTCCTTGAAGCCGCCTCTCCTGGTGGCCTTGCCTTTGCAATGATCCTTACCTTTCTCCGTGCTCCCGGCTCTGAACCGGGAGAAACGGGGCAGGCACTTGGGCCATTTTTGCCTCTGTTCCTTTCTCTCCGTCTCCCCCACAGGCAGAGTCCCGTAACCAGCTGTGGGTACTCCCTGGGCCGGCGGTGCCCTGTGGTCTGATGCCCACTCCACGGCTGCCACATAGACAGTGCCAGTCAGAGGCAAGATGAGGCCCAGCCAGGTGATAAACCTGGAAGGAGAAAAGCCACCCAGTCACCCAGCTTGTCCTTCCGGCAGACACCAGAGAACAACCAGCCACGGGTGTTTCCACCCAGAGCCCCTGCCAGGGCCGAGGAACATAAAAAGGCTGGGGATGGCCTTCTGAGACTGAGAATCGCGAAGGAAAGCACATGGGAAACGATGCAGCAACTTCTCTACTGGCCAAATGCTGGCTGTACGTAATAATAATAATAAAGAATAATAATGACAGACAAAGAAGAAAGACAACCCGAACCAGGACACACCAAGAAAAACAGACAAAACACCGAGGAAAATATCTGCCACCGGTGCAACCAGGGATCAGTGCGGCGCACTGGCAAACTCAGTAAAACCGGCACCTCCCACCCAGAGAAGAGGGTGCCGAGAGACAGGTGACCACCCTGAGCATTCATCCTGGGGAGACTCACAGGACGCGTGGAGCCCCAGCTTTAAAAAATAACAATGCAGGCAGGTGAGTCAGGAGAAAAAGAATCTCCCAATCCATTGTCAACACGCTGGGGTTGGCCTTGTAGTTAACAACTCAACAGATATCACTAAGAACTAGATATGCCATGTCTTCGGAATTGATGGTAGAATAATGGGTGGAAGTGGAGACAAGCATAGAGAGTTTCTAGATATCCTTTGAGGACAGTGGTGGTTCTGTATATATGTTACCTAGGAATGCACTTAATGGGTTATCTCCACCCATCTGTCAATGATGGTTTGGGTGTTACTATGATGCTTAACAGATTTCAGCAGAGCTTCCTGATTAAAAGAAACTAGGAAGAAAGTTCTGGTGATCTACTTCTGAAAATCAGTTCGTGAAAACCCTGTAGATCACAATGGTCAGATCTGCCACCAAGCATGGGCATGTGGCCGGATTAGGCAGGATTTCCTCATGTTGCATTGGGGTCTCCATGAGTTGGATCGCTGCGATGTCAGCGAACTACAATGACAATGACATGTTATCTGTTCTGTCACATCTCAGAAGTCTTCATTTAGCTCAGTTAAGTCTTATCATGCGGTGACTTTGGCTTTATTTCTTGTCCTGTTTCCATGAAATCGGTGTTTTAGAAATGTCAGTCATTTTATCGCATTGATGTATAAAAAGTACTTAGAATCGGCCCCTGTGTTTACAGAGGTAACTGACTTTTGGTGCTGGGGTGGCGGGGAGGAAGTGGACCCCAGCATTTCCGAGTGAGGCAGGGAAAGTGTATTTCCAGGAGGACCCTTCACTGAAGGGCTCTGGAGGGACGAGCAGCAGTCCTCCTGTGTTCTCTGTCCCGGGGCACAGCGCCAGGGGCCCCGGGCGTTATGTGTTGGGCTCCTAACCACAAGGTCATCAGTTCGAAGCCGCCCCACGTGAGAAAGATGGGACGTCCTACGTCCCTAAAGAGTTAGTCTTGGGAGCCCAAAGGGGCCGTGCTGCTCACTCCTAGAAGGTCGCTAGGAATCGGAATCGGCAGTGAGTTTTCTCCGAAAGGCACCTGCTGGCGTCGTGAGCGATGTATTTGGCTGCCAACCACGGTAGGCGCTTCAAAGACACTAGTAGGCCCGAGGGAGAAAGACGGAACCCACTGGAGGACAGTGGGCATGGCTTGGTGGCCTGGGCTAGGCACACACTGGACCCCAGGTCTATAGGCATGGTTTTCCAGCTGTTTCCGGCTTTTCCTCCCTGGACACATTCAAGGGCAGGGAGTGACGGCAAAACTCCTAGCCCTGTGACACTAGGGGTCACAGGCCAGGCTGCTAACCGTGCTCAGCCGGGAGAAGCAGCCGTCTGCTCCTCAGACTCCCTTCACAGCACGGCTCCAGCCGCATGGACAAGGCGGCGGCCAGTTTGGCTTTGGTTTTAAGGGACACTCTGAGACGCTGCAGTGTGTGTGGGAGACTCTGCAGTGGTCACAGATTCACGGGCCTGAGGGATGGGGTGGGATCCGTCTCTCTGTATCTGGAAATCCATTCCCCCTCCCCCAGGTCCCGTGCATTTCCTTCTGCAGGCACACAGCCTGGCAGCCTGGCCTCACTCAGTGAGTGACAACCAAAGGGTCTCTGTTAAGTGAGCCATTCACTGTAAAACGCAGGGAAAAGTTGCAAGCTTGAGTGTTTGCATTCCATTCCCATTTACCACAATGAAGACAACCACCACCACAAATGGGGTAGGTGGTGAATAGAAGATCATCAACCACCCCCTACCCCAGCCACCCCCCACCCCGCGCCAGCAGGTACCCCGGAGGGCCATACTCACAGACACAGGGCAGCAAACGTGTCCAGGGGGAACTTCCCGACAGCACACTGGGCCACGACCTTTCCAGAGGAGGAGGAGGACTTTATCTTGAAGAAGGGCAGGGCCGGTGCCCCAAAGGAGGCATTTCTGGATCTTAAAACCCCTGCCAAGAGAAGCACACACACGCACATATATATGAGCAACGCTTGGCTCTGCAAGAATGCTCCCCATCTTCTCCAGAGTTTTCGTGTCTATTATTTCACAACAAAACTTTGACATGGCACAGGGAAGTGGGCTTTTAATATCTTTGTTTGACCGAAAAAACAAAAGCACAAACCAAACCCAATCCATTGATATCAAGTCAGTGTTGACTCACAGTGACTCTCGGCAGCCTTTCAGAGACTATAAATCTTTACAGAGGCAGACAGCTTCTTCTTTCTCCAGAGAAGTAGCTGGTGGTTTTGAACAACCGACCCTCTGGTTGGCAGCCCAATGCTTACCCAGCGGTGCCACCAATGCCCAAGGATGTGGACACTGGGAGAAACGCTCGTGGTTGTCACCTTTATCCACAGAGCTCTGAGCGCCCACCCTATGGGGCAGTTCTATTCTTTCATAGGGGGCTGCTAAAGGTCGGAATCAACAGCCCCCAACAACCACAGCCACGGCAACCACACTGTTCCTTTGCGCTCAGCCTTTGACCAAGCAACAACTTCTGCCTGGCCCAGAATCTTTGCTCTTCCCTGTACACTACAGGGCAAGGAGCCCTGGTGGCATGGTAGGTAAAGGGTTGAACTGCTAACGGCCAGGTTCACAGTTCAAACCCACCAGCCACTCCACTTGAGGAAGACGAGGCTGTGTGCTCCTGTGTGAGATTCACAGCGTTGCAAACGCAAAGGGGCAGTTCTGCTCTGCCCTGTCAGCTCACTGTGAGTCCAATGGACTTGGTGGCAGTGAGTGAAGTAGAGACTGAACCAAGTTCTTCTTGGCCTGGGTGTGGCCAGCCGGCAATATTCCATCAAAAAGATTTGAGGAGGGACCTTGCTCCCTGGGTGGAACTGCTCTGTTCCCTGACCCCCTATACCCCCCACCCCACCCCCACCCCCGTTGTCTTGGTGTGGAAGCTGGAAGAATTCCTTGGCCAGGAAATCCAAATTGCACTAATACATCCGCCCAGGCCAGCCTCTCCGACCTTCTTCTTTCCAGTCCCTCCAAGAGATGCGTCATCCTGTTCTTCGTCTAACGCTGCTTTCTCCAAAAGCATTCTCTTGTGCTGACAGTTCTTTCTCACTTCAGTTCCAGGCTGGTTAAGCTCAGCGGGAGCAAGGAGCTAGGCTAATTGACACAGCTCTCAAGGCATGAAGAACACAGCTCATTAGAGTCAGGGCGTGGTGCTGATTCACTCACACACTCCCTCAACAACCAGCCTGCAGAGTTCTCGTTGAATCTAGGATCTTCGTGGCTATTCCAACCAGAATTTAAATTTGAATCTGATGTATAATGCTTTTTTTGTAATAAACAGCACATAAAATACGTGGCTAGCAAGCAAGCTAATATCCCCGAGCGTGTGGGGCCAGCGAGCATTCAGAAGGCAATGTGCGATGATTGGAAACAAGTGCACTGCCGACCCTACGAGGGGAGGCGTGGGATGGAGAGGCGGGGCCGCTTTGCTGGGAACGGGCGCATGGAAATAAGAGACTCTGTTGCACCGTGAGTTCAAGTTTTAAAGCGCTTGCTTGGAGCATTTTGAAAGACCGAGGGGTAACCGACCCAGTCCCCACGTGCCCTAAAATGGATTCAGGGTGCCTAACAACACCTAAGAGCACAAGAAACACCACAAGTTGGTAGAATGGTCTGATTTCCATAGGGCAGCATCAGAACAGAGAGCATTGGGAAAGGGCCTCCCAGGAAGGGCCCCGGGGAAGTTGGTGACATAAGTCTCTAAGGAGATGGCATTGAAGCACACGCGGGGCTTCAAGGCCTGTTGGTCACAGGGGCGCTCAGGACAGCCCAGTCTAAAACTCAGCCTCTGGTCCGGCCCTGGAAGGAGGGGCTACCCGCTGGGCTGAGGACTGCAAGGTCAGCAGTTGGAAACCACCAGCCTGTTTTGCGGGGGCTCAGATGAGGCTTTCTACTCCTATAAAGCGATCCAGTCTCAGAAACCCACGGGGACAATGCTCCCCTGTCCTATCGGGTCACTAGGATCAGAATTGACTCGATGGCAGTGAGTTCTGAGTTTGAGCCAGGCCCTAGAGCCCTGCTGCTCAAAGCAAGCTATACAAAGATGGTTTCTCACAGAGCCCGATGCCCGCCGAGGCAGAGCATTCTCCACTAAGACGCTACCTGGGGTAGTGTTTGACAGGAAGGGGAATCCACGGAGCCAGCCCCTTTAAGGGTGAAGGTTCAAGAGACAAATGGCCTGGAGATCAAAGGCAAATGTCCTGGGTCACCTTACTTCCAGGATCCCAGAACTACGGATACTAGGGAAGTGGGCAGTCAGAGAGAGCTAGAGCCAGCCAGGCTCCAGAGTCCTCCCTCTGTCTACGGCGGAAGAGGCTGAGGTTAAGTGACTTGTGCAGGATCACAGGGCTGGGAGGTGCCAACCAGAACTAAACACTGGCCTCTTCACACTACCCCGCTACAGCACATTATTTCCCAGTGTCGTTCCGGTGGCCATCTGGACTGGCAGCTGTCAGGTTTCCACACTTGGGCCACAGCAGGAAGTGTGGAGACCTGACATCGTCTGTCCAGTGCATCCTGCCTCCTGCTACCAGCCCCATCTAACAGCTGTGACCCAGCACAGCCCTCAAGAGTCGGCTACGGTGTCCTCCCTACTGTAGCCCCCTCTCTATTGAAGAGACCTCTCTTGCTGACCTAAAAATAAAATACCGTTGCCATCAAATTGCTTCTAGGCCATGGTGGCCTCTGTCCATCAGAGCGGGACGCTGTTCCTCTTCCGTTGGGTCTGCACTGACTCATTTCCTGGAAGCCGATGATCACCAGGCCTTCCCAGGTGCCTCTGCGTGGTCTCCAACCTCCAATCTTTCCACTAGCAGTCGAGCACATTCAGCATTCCCGAAGCCCAGCCCAGAGACACGTTTCCTACCCACTCCCTCCTAACCTTCCATTCCGTCTCTCGGGGCCCCGAGCCACATCATGCTCCCTTTATTGGACTTGTCAGGATGAAAACTTCCAGAGGGAACTGCGTTGATCCGAGATGCCTCACGCTTTAGGTAGAGAGTGGTTTCCGTGGGGACTGTTGGGCACCTACCCAGCTGAGATACCCCAGTCACATCGTCCCCGGTGCAGGAGTCAGGGACACACACGCCCACGAAGTAGTCCGCTTCCTCCTGTGAAACACAAGGCCACACGCTGTTTCACTTCAGCACCTGGGGCACGCGCACAGTCGATCCTGGCTAAGGTTGCCGCAGCAGTCTCGTGCACTACACAAGTCGGGAAGGTGTTGGAAAAAGACACGTTTTCCCACTTCTTTGGAGACGGCTTTTCCCGTGACAGAATGGTTCAAGTGGATTGACAGAAGACCAGACTCACTTGTATTTTAATAAAAATGGGCGCTGAGGTGAAATGCGGCCGATGATTTAAAAACAGCTGCCCCCTGTGCACCTCGTTCCCTTATTAGTGGTCACGGGGAGCCGGCTTCCGTCTGTCTGCTGAGCAGATAATCTGAGAAGCTGGACTAGATGAAACGGACCAGGCCTCAGGATGGGAGGAACCCTCCCTGGCAACCTGTGACAGGCAGGTGACACGACCTTGCCTGCCAAAATTGGAAGGGAATTGGGGCACTTGCAGATGAAGATCCAAGACTACAACCTTCAGGAGGGTTTACACTTGAATATAAAGAACGCAAAAATCCCCACAACTGGACCGATGATCGACATGGTCAAGGGTTTCATTGTACTTGGCTCCATCGTCCATGCTCATGGAGGCCAAAGCCAAGAAGTCAAACTATGTGTTGTACGGGCGAATCTGCCGCAAAAGACCCCTCTCATGTGTTAACAAGCTAAGATGTCGTTTTGAGGACTAAGGTGCAGTAAGCCCGAGCCATGACGGTTTCAATTGCCTCGTGGACATGGGAAAACTTGACTTGGAAGAAGGATAAGTAAAGAAGTTATCCTTATTCATAACTGCTTTATGGTGTTGGTGAAAAATATTGCAAATATGGGTGAATCCTCCTTCTCAGAATCAGGGATTTCAGGACTTGGCCTCGTGGACTTTGGGTATGTTATAAGGAAGGGTTGAGTCACTCTGACGCATAGCGACCCTATAGGGGAAAGCAGAACTGCCTGCTTTGGGTTTCCCAGCCTGTAAATCTTTTGGGAGCAAAAAGCCTCATATTTTTCCCAAAGAGCAGCTTGTGGGCTTGAACTGCTGACCTTTCAGTTAGCAGCCCAAATCATAACCTACTGCGCCACCGGGGCGCTTTGTTTGGTAAAGTAGACGGTCCGCAAAGGAGACAAAGACCCTCATGAAGATGGACTGACATAGTGGCTGCACTGATTGTAAGGGTGGGGCGTGGCCAAGCTGCGCTTCATCCGGTGGCCCACAGGGTCACTAAGAGTCAGAGTCCAATGGACAGCCCTGAACAACAACAAGAGTTGACGGGCCTGCATTTTTCAGTCAAATTGCCAAGTTGCCATTTCCTGATAGGAGGACACAACATATGAGATCACGGTTTTAATAATCAGTCAAGCCTATAATTAGAACGCTTTTCCCAATAAAGCACAGATCAAATTACAAGTAGAATTTTGGAGGACACTTATTCTAAATAATGAATGGTCATTCATTTGTGCCCGACCTTTAGCTCCGATGTCCACATCGTTCATCTGCTTTCACATTAGACGGTGAAGTTCATGTGCTCTGACATTGCTCCATGCAATCGTCACTGTAACCTGTGAGCCTCAGGTCGCAGGACAAGTGGCGCTGGGGATCATCTCCCTGCCTCCCATGGTGAACAACTGCAAGACCATTTCATGGCCTTAATATTAGAGAGCCTGGATTTCTTATCATTGTTTTCTCTATATCTGCTGTAAGTCCGCTAGTCAAGCAATTACCCCTTCGCATTCTGTGGCATGCAGGAAGCCTGCCTTTGTATTTAATTAAGAGGCTGGGCTCTTTCAGTTTCTTTTAACAGTAAAAGGATGAGCATGCTTTGAAGACAGTGAGTTCTATGATCTTGGTCGCCAATTTAGTAATGTTTTCATAGAAGCCACGGGCCATGGACTAGGGTAGCCTCAGATGGGTCTTTTTGAAGCTGCTTCTGGGAAGTGGGCGATGGGAATGCTATCCCCCCTCTGGCATCCCAATAACAGATGATGAGTCAGGAGGAGTCCGGACTTGGGAAACAAACCTAGCTTCCTGACTTGACCTGCACTCTACTAAGCAGTTGTTTGGCTCTGGGAGGGGCAGATTCACACCAGGGAGTTCGTCTGAGAGCATGAGGAGAGCCCCAAGTAGACGAGGGTCCCCACCGGACCCTGGCCCAGGCAGAGTCTGAGAAGGAGCAGAAGAGAGCTACCCCCACACAAACAAAGAGCCAGCGTAGCATCTTGCTAGCAACGCCACCGGCCAGGGCCCTGGCTTCCCCTGGAAGGGGGCTCAGGAGGAACAAACACCTCAAGGCTCATGTGGTTTCTGGACAAGAGCCTCCTGGAATGACCCGTGTTCCGGAAGTGCTGAGCAATGTCCCATCAGCCGCTTCCATTCTAGGTTTAACTTTTTTGCCAAACATCTTGGCAAAGCCAGCCGTGGAGGTCCACTGTGCTCCGTGTCACTGCCATCAGGTGACCATCAGAGCCTTCCCAGAGGCCCCCACACTCACCTGCAGGAAGTGCAGCTTGCAGTACCGCCCTCGGAAGCGCCCCGGGGGCGCACGGGTGGAGAGGCACTCGCTGTAAGACCCCAGCCTGTCCACGTTTCCGTTAAGAACATTGCTCCCCAGTTTGCTCATCGCATCATACCCTGGATGTCAAAGCAAAAGAAGTGTGTCACGGTGGTTTCTCTGTGACTCTCTGGAAATGAGGGGAAAGGTACCCAGCGGCCACGACGGGAGACAGGCGGGGCTTTCGGCTCCCATAAGGGGGTCTTCGTTCTACGCTGTTCCCTAGGGGCACCCTGAGTCCAAATGGGCTCGGTGGTGGTGAGCGAGTTTCTCCCCAACATAAAATTTGTCCAGCACACCATGAGGGGAAGCCCGACAGAGAGGGCAGATTCCCAACGTTATAACCCCAAGAATTGACTCCAAACATATAAAGCTCAAACGAATCTCAGACTCCTTGCCATCGAGTGGATGCCGCCTCCTAGAGATCTGCCCCTGTGAGTGTCTGAGCTGCAGCTCTTCACAAGAGTAGAAAGCCCCGTCTTTCTCCCACTGAGCAGCTGGTGGTTTCGAACGGCCGACCTGGTGGGCCGAGCCCAATATGTAACCACTGAGGACACCAAACCGGGGATCCTTCAAATCCATCTTTTTTTTTAATTCAAGAAAATTGATTTTTTTTTTAATCTGCAAAGGACACAAACAGGCAACTCGTGGAGAAGGACATTCAAGCAGCCCTGGACGCAGGGAAGCGTCAGCCTCCACAGTGAATAAAAAGAATCACTCCCACGGGATGATTCCAACTCACAGTGACTTACTTACAGGACAGGGAGAACTGCCCCTGTGGGTTTCTGAGATGAGACCTCTGTACGTTAGCAGACAGCCCCAACTTTGCCCTGACTTTCTCCCACAGAGCGGCCGGCAATTTCAGACTCCTGACCTTGCAGTTAGCAGCCCCAGGTGTAACCACTACTACGCCAAATGTTTTCGCTCCAGCCACCTAGAAGCCTGATAAGGTTACATGGGGTGAGCGCAGGAAGAAACAGCCCTGCTGATGCAGCAGCTGAGGACTTGGCTGCTAACCAAAAGGTTGCTGGTTCAAATCCCCCAAGCACCTCCGCAGTAGAACGCCCACCCTCACGATCTGCTCCCATAAAGGTAGCAGCCCAGGAGCCTCCCCCCGGGGCAATTCCAGTGTCCTCGATCCGGTTTCCTAGAGCTCGTTTTCCCAGCGGACAGCAGCTAGATTTACTTTTCGAGACTCACCTCTCCCCACGTGTTCTAAGGGAATCCTGAGGTCCCTGGAGTTAGATGTGGGGCTACTGACTGCTGCAAACTGACCAGCCTTTCCCGGGAAGAGAGGCGAGTGATATAGTGAAAGTTTATTGTGCCAACCTGGCCGATAAACACATGTGGGGTTCATTGAAGGGCTGAGGGATAAACGGCTCTGTGAGCCTCACTTTTCTAGTTCACGGGAGTCTTGCTTTGTGATGGTCAGACCAGGGTGCAGCTGCCTTAGCCAGTTCCCTGCCTCAGCTGGCAAGGCTCACTTCCTGTGAGACATCCCTGAGGAGAAGCCACATGGATCTACCCCGATGCAGCCCTGGGTGCTGGAGCAGCCGTGTGGAGCCCCCTGCCAGCGCTGAGATGCTTACACACTCCCTGATTCAGCTTTCCTCCTGCAGTTGGCGTCATTGCTTGTCTTTGTGAGATGGAGGAGGACTTTGTGGATTGATGTTGGACATATGGGCTAATGTTGGACTTGTGGGCTTGGGCAGCACTGGATTGGGATGTTTTCTGATGTGCACTTAGTCTTTGTATAAAACTCTCTCTTATACATATGAATTTCTGTGGATTTGTTTCTCTAAGGTACCCAGACTAACACAGTGAGGCTCTGCACTCCTGTCCGGGAAAACTCACATAAGGTCACTGTGTGCCAGGGAGCCCTGGTCGTGCCACGATGAAGCGCTGGGCTGCCAAGCAAAACACCGGAGGAGCTTTGAATCTGTGCACTATCTCTGCAAGACAAAAGGCCTGGAGATCACCCCCGTGAAGAGGGCTGTCCTCGGAGGCCCCTCTGGGGCAGGTGTCCTCTGTCTTGTAGGATCACTGTGACTGTGGGTTGGAATCTGGGGGCTGGTACATAGCAGGAACAAGCACGTGGCAGCCTTGGCCTTGTGCTCTCCATACAGCAGTGTCAGGAATGGGTCTCTTCCACTCAGGACTGTGGCTCGAGGTCAACAAGACTCAAGTGGAGGAAGATTAGGGCTGAAGGGAAGCCTGGGGTCCCTCCATTCCAGGAGGGCTGTGTGGTGAGAGATGCCATGGGGACTTCCTGGTTCTGACTGGTTCAGAGCCCAGTTCGAGCCTTGAAGGTCTTGGGCTGCCCCCCATTGCTGACGGTGGCTTTGCGTGGGTTCTACGGCACAGTGAGGCCGTGTGGCTACCGACCTTGCAGGGAGCAGCTGGGTGCAGCACTGCTGGTGGCCCCGGGCTGCATAGCTGCCCTCGCTTGCTCAAGCTGACCAGGCTTCTTGTCTCCGTTCAAGCAAAGACTCCGTCCTGACCACTTACCCAGTGACTGGCCAGACAATGTCTCCTAATTTGCCTCTGGGAAGCACGCAGGAACACACATGGCAGCCGCGCTCACTGAGGGGGAAAACCAGACCCACACCTCACGGTGAACCAATGAAAGGCCATGTTGAATAGCCATGACTTCAAATAGTCCAACGTTATCGATTAGGAAATTGGTAAATGAACATGGTGCTTTCCGATTTTGCAACGCTATGCAGCAACTAAAAAAAGGAAAAATCTCTCTGTGGTGGTGGAAAATGTGCTAAGACAGATTACCTTTTTAGATGAAGCACATTTAAGAGCACCAAATATATTTCTATGGTTTACAAACAAAATTTAAAATAAATATCTATCTTTCTAGTAAGATACATAAACACAAAAATGCTAGGAGAAAGTTCTAGAAGAATACATCTCATTGATCCTCATTGCCATCAGGTAGATCCCAGTGCACAGGGTCCTCCAGGACAGAGTAGAACTGCCCCACAACGTGTCCAAGGCTGTCATCTTTACGGAAACAGACGGCTCCTCTTCCCCTACGGAGCAGCTGGGGGGCTGGAACTGCCAAGTGCTTTAACAACTGCACCCCAGCATGCCTTCCTTCCACTGATCCAGTTGTCATCCAGGAAACTGAATTTGAATAAGGGAAGCTAAAGAACATAAGCTTTGACTGTATTGCTTAGAGCCTTTCCCAATGAGGATAGATCCAGATATTACATCATAAAATCGAAACCAAACATTTACGTCCATATTTGAGGGAACCTAAAAAAGTTTACAGAAAAAGTGGAATTAAAAGGTGATCGGCACACCTATAGAGTCATCAACTGGAATAAGGGTTTGGGGGGGAGGGGAACACGGAGGTGGTGGCGGGGTGAAGGGTGAAGGGTCAAGGAGACCACATAGAAGAGAAGTGCCCAGAAACGGATTGTGGCAGCAGATGTCCAAATTCTGCTGGATGTGACTGAACTATGGAATGATCTGGTACATGGATTCATCCCAGTCAATTTAAAAAAAGATAATTGTCAAAGTTATGACCGCTTCTTAGACATGGCCAAACACCTTGAGGGAATGAGTAGCTGGGTCTAGGGGATCAGGCCTTGAGCCTTGGGGGACACTGAGGTCCCTTGGTATAACACAGTTGACAAAGACAATGTTCTACATCCTACTTTGGGGTCTTGGAAGTCGATGAGCAGCTCTCTAAGGTGAAATTATTGGTCTCGCCCCATCCAGCAAAAAGAAGAATGAAGAAAATGAAAAGACATGTGGAAGAGAGTGACCACACGAACATCAGTCTTCACACCCCTGAGACCAGAAGAACTAGGTGGTGCCCACTGACCACTGCCAAGTGCTCTGAGAAGGATCACATCAGAAACTTTCGAGAAAGGGTACAACCAAACTCAAAATGGGATGTCCGTGAGACTAGGCTTACTAGACAGAGACCAGTGAGAGCCCCCCCAAACCTAGGGCCTGTAGTCACCCTTCGGGTCTGGAACTGAACTCACCCCCATATTAGAATCATCAACCATTTGAGCTCCAAAGGGCAACATTTACCCAAAGACCAAGTTCAGCGGGTGAGGAATGGAGGAGGCGTGGAAACAGGAGACACAGGGAGGAGGTGGGATACGTACATCCAGGTCCAATAATAGGGACCCTCTAGAAACCATCCTCATCTTCTTGATGTTGGTCCTGTTTGGGGCTCAAAGGGGACCCCAATCTCAAAAGCAATGTAAGGCGAACATGTATGACGTCTTAAAAGAGGCCGAAACCACCCAAAGACACAGACACATCGTCAGGGGAGGGAGGCCAACAGCCCGAGCTCGAAGTGGCATCTGAAGATTTAGTCGGGACACTCATGAGACAGTCATGGGACAAAGGAATTGGTCACAAATCCATGATGGGTGGCAGATCCGTGTACCACAGTTTTAGGGAGGACTGACGACAGGGGCAGGTGGAGGACCAGGTTTGGGACACAGACATGTTGGATAGAAGGACTTACAAGGCTGGTCCAACCAAGTCAGTCAGGACGAGACTGAAAGGGCATGACTCATGGCTATGCGACCCCCTGCACTGTCCCCAGTACAGAGACCTCCATCTAGGACACAGCCAGGCAAGCCCCTAAGAAGAGACCACCCCTCCCTGGGCTGGCTGGCAAGAGGTGGAGGTAATCCACTTTGCAAGGCACTCTATGTGAGGGCAAGATTGGTTAATGATCAGAAAGAATTTGATGGAAGCTTAGTTTATGTAAGGACCCTGCAAAATGATTTGGGGTTGTCAGAGCCATCGTTAGCCCTTTGAAAACTGGGGTGCTCTAATACAGTCCTGGGGGGGAGGGTGTTCCTTCCGGCTGGTTTTCTCTCTCGCCTTCTTCCTAAAAATCCCTCCTTCTCTCCCGATTCTGGGCACCTTTTTAGAAAAGGAGAGTAACTCATCTCCCCTTTCCTATCTGTTTCGGTGTTTTTAACCCTGCAGAGTGTTCCAGAACACTCCCAGCGTGAGTCCCTGCACAAACCTCAGACTGCCCTGGACCAGTTTCGGCTCCCAGCTCAGCTCCTCACCAGGCCCGGGGAAAGCCCACTTACTTCTTAGAGCGTATTCTTTGGGCTCCTTTGAATTCAGATCAGAAAGGAATTCCGCCAGGTCTTGCCTGCACTTGAGAGAAATGTTTCTGGCAAAAGAAACCAAGAGTAATGGAAGCTGCAGACAGAGCAGGTAGAGCAGTACGGTCGGAACCATTGCGTCTCTCAAGCCGCCAGGCTATGCCTCCCTTCCCAGACGAAGAGGCTGATATTTATGGAGCTCCAGAGGACAGGGGGTCAGGGAAAATGTGACACTGCTCGCTTGGCTCCTTAACACGCAGGGAAAAGCTGCGTGTCCTCCACCACCTGCATAGCGGCCAGGACGGCCAACCGTGGAAACCAATTTGCAGACGACTTGTTCTTGCTGAATACAAGTCCTCTGGATGGCGAAGGCCACCTGGCTGGCTTTGGTTATGCTGATTAGTGATTCCCAGCAAACGCAGCCCAGCCGAGATTTTCTTTGGAGTGCTGGCCCTGTGTGCACGTCTTTCTTATAAACCCCATCTCCGGGTTTGAAACAGAGCTCAGGGAGGTGACGTGACAACGTCTATTTTGTGAGCAGGAACGGTTAGGACGCCAACCTGGAAGACGTTCATAGCTGCTACACAGGGCTTCTCAGAAAATCTTTGGCCACGTCTGCAACTGGACTGGGCGTGCCGGCTTTGAAGGTGAGGTGGGGATGTGGTTGTTAGTCGTCAGGGGCCTGGAGAGGGAGCTCTGGCTCCTAGAGACCCTGTGTGCACCCGAGCTAAGCACTCCTTGGCCCAGCACCATCTGCACAATTGTTCTTACATCTGAGCCCAGTGGAGCAGCCCTGTGCCAACCCATCTCACAGAGGGTCTTCCTACTTTCCTTCCTGAGACTCAACTTGGCCAACCATGATGGTCTTTCCCAGGGGCTGTTCTCTGCTGACAACATGCCCATGGCACATGAGATTCAAAGCAAGTGAAACAACGGTCGGGCTTCCTCACTTCTCGGGAACAGCTGTACTTCTTCCAAGGCAGAGCTGTTGGTTCTTCTGTCCATGGGCTATGCTACACTTGTGTCAACTCGAATAGTCAAGTCTCCTTAGTCTCCTCTTTCCTTATCCAACTTCCTCATGATCATGAGTTGCCTGGAAATGCCATGGCTTGGGGCAGGTGCACCTTAGTCTTCTAAGGAACATCCTTTGTTTCTGTTTTTGAACACTCTAAAGAAGTCTTGTGCAGTATAAGGCATCATCAGAACAAAAAATCTTACCATAGTGAATGATGGGGGGAGTGC